GCCCAGGGGCTCCCTGAGGTAGGACATGCAGATGGGACAGGCCAGTTCTTCCACGACGGCTTCCACCAGCGCTGCCGGATCCATGGCCCCTTTTCACACCCTCCTGGGAACATGAACAAAACCAGGCAGAGGTACTGAAGGCGCCCGTGGGCAGACAGTCCCCGCAGCCGCCGGCTCCTCGGCCTCTCGCTGGCTCTTCGGTCTGCTGCCCGCCCTCAGGCCCCGCCCACAGGGGCTACTTTTTAAAATAAAACATTTCTCATAACAACCCTATTCCATTCACTCACTCTTAGTGTTAGATATTTTTGTTTATCCTTCAAAAGGTGATTTTAACTGGCTGGAGAATATTGTTTTTTTTGAATGTGTTAAACATTTCCTTCTGAGATCATGTTCATATCAGTCACCTGATGAAAAGGGGACCAGGCAGAGTACCTTCATTATGTGAGCAATTTCACGAAAATTTTTATTCAGAAATGATTGAAAAAAAATACAGCTTTGGTGTAGGAATAAGAAGCTGAATAAAAATATTTAAATATGCTTTCATTGATTTTAGTGAGAGAGGGAGAGGGAGAAAAATATCAGTTGGCTTCCTCCTGTGCGCCCCCTACTGGGGAACGAGTCCATAACCCAGGGATGTGCCCTGACTAAGAATCAAACTGGTGACCTCTCCATGCCCGGGTCGTCGCTCAACCAACTGAACCACACTGGCCAGGGCTAAAAAAATGAATTTTACATGAATGTCCACAGGATCAATTTCCATTGCTCTGTATCCTTAACAAGACCCTAGGAGTGAGTCTTGTTTCTGCCAGACACCTTGCTGTAACTTAGTTCTCTTTCCTTCCAGTCCAGGGAGATGCTGAAGGGAGCAGAGCTGTCTCGCAGGCTCCAGAGGCTTTGGCGCTGGCCTGTGGCCCGTGCAGGGAGTGTGGACATGTCTCCGACACTGATGCCTCATGCAGGCTGGGATAGATGTTCCCTGTCCTGGTCTGTCATGTCTCTCAAGCAAAGGCCAGCAGGTGCTCTCACTGAACGGAGGTTTGCATTGCAGTTTACTCTGACCTCAAGTCAGAGCACCTCAATCAGTCACACCATGTGTTCAGAAAGCTACGGATGAGCTGGTCTCCTTCCAATTAGTGTGACAAACACAATACAGTCTCCCAGGAATGGAGGGAAATAAAACCTTCCTTGTCCCCTTCATCTATAGCTGATAGTTCTAAATGTCACCATGAATCTGAGTCACCTTCATTTTTTTAAAGCAAAACAAACTCACAGTGCCGGGGACCGGTGCAGGCTGGTGTCTGCCTCAGTCTTGCTGGGTTTGAAGGGTGTGGTCAGGAGTGTCCTTGGATACAAGGCCATGCCACAGCATATCACAGTAGTGCCAAACATGACAAAGAGGCGAGGTTTCTTTCTCCGTCATGTAAACAGGTGAGATTTCATGCCTAAAGTCCACAGTCTCTCCCCCTCATTCTGAACATCAATGTGATAGTATGAAAAACAAAATAACCTAACCAGACTTATTACATGGCAGAAAATTCTAGTTCAATTTCTTACCTCTAAAGATCCTTCAAACATACAACTATTGGCCTTTGGTATTCCCACTCTGACCTCACTTTTGTTAGCTGGTGCTGGTGAATTATGGCCCCCGCCCCCCGCTTCCACGTCTATCTCTCTTTCCTAACCTCTATATTCAATTAATACGTTTGTGAAAAACCATTTAGTATCAACCAACGTTTTCTTAGCATCTGCTCTGGGTCAAGTTCTGTGCTACATAAGGAAGGTGAAAGCAAATGAGATGCAGCCGCTCCCTTTGAGAGTCCACAGTCCAAGAGGAGAACGAGTCACAAGAGAGCAGTGTGACCCTGCGGGCGCTGCAGATGGGAAAGGCAGTGATGCTCGGGGACTGCAGGAAAGGCATCCACAACCTCCACACAGAAGCGGGCAGGAGAGGGGAGAAAGTAGAAAGAAAGAAGAGTTCGTGTGCAAAGGCGTGAGAGATGAAGACTTTGGCACACTTGGAGAACTGTGGCAGGAGTGTACCAGGGGCAGGAGAGGAGGTCAGGATGGAAGTTTACAGGCCAATGAGAAATGACACCGATACATGTTATCCTCAGGAGGTTAAATTTATTCCGTAGGCTGGAGGGAGAAAGAAAGATTATATCTTTGATCATATAATTAGTATTTATTTTTCCAGCCCAATGGAAGATTCATGAAGATGGAAAAAGTGCCATCGATGCTTAGCATAGTGTCTGGCATGTTATTAAAGTGTTTTGAGTCGATGGCTACATGGATACATGAATGAATTGTTGCTGAGAATGGTGGTATAGTATGAACAGATTTGCCTTTTAGAAAAATATTGAGAAGGACATGTAGAAGACAGGTCTGGAGGACTGGAAGGATGTGTGGAGGACAGGTCTGGAGGACCAGAAGGATGTGTGGAGGGCGGGGCTGGAGGACCAGAAGGATGCGTAGAGGACAGGTCTGGAGGACTGGAAGGATGTGTGGAGGACAGGTCTGGAGGACTGGAAGGATGTGTGGAGGACAGGTCTGGAGGACTGGAAGGATGTGTGGAGGACAGGTCTGGAGGACCAGAAGGATGCAAGGAGGATGGGTCTGGAGGACCAGAAGGATGCGTGGAGGATGGGTCTGGAGGACCAGAAGGATGCAAGGAGGACAGGTCTGGAGGACCAGAAGGATGTGTGGAGGGCGGGTCTGGAGGACCAGAAGGATGCAAGGAGGACGGGTCTGGAGGACCAGAAGGATGCAAGGAGGATGGGTCTGGAGGACCAGAAGGATGTGGGGAGGGCGGGCCTGGAGGACCAGAAG